CGAGTGGCACTGATTCTTTGATTCCCTTGCACGTAATGGTTTCTTGAGTTACATAAATGGATAAACAAACAATTGAAATAAAAGGAAAAAAAGGATTAGTGCACCAATAATACTTTGGAATCTTTATGGGGCAAAAATGGTTGACACCATGGACATTCGACAATTTTAAATAAAATTAAAATTATTACCGTACTATTTAAGTTGAATTGAGCAAGTATGATCAACTAATTTAAAAAGATAATTCCTCTTGACTCAATTCGATTCACTTATTCTAAAGTTTCTGAACTCTGGTACAATCGAGAAAAGCTCAAACTTGTTATTCTTTGTTCAATTGTTTTGCCACATTGCATCGATAGCACGATGAACAACTAATATAGTGCATGTTTGGTAGTGATTTTTCTCTCCAAAAAATTAATTTCTTTTATTATTATTTCACTATTTCAATCGTCATTTTTGACTTTTTTCTTACATGTAGGACTCACTTTTCTCCTTCACGATCAAAAAATCAATTCTCAAAATCACTACCGAACAAGCCCATAGATAGTTTTTGATAATTTTTAGTTTGTGATAGTGGAATAACACGAGAATCAATGAATCATGCAAATTAAAATGGGGAAGATATGATGTGAAAGGTAGATAAATTTGTTGTTAGATGATAAAAAGAAAAAAAGACTGAAATTATTTTAAAAAATTGAAATATATATAAAAAAAAATGTCAATTATTTTATCTTATCATTTTAATGTACTAATGATTTTATATTGATAAACAACATTTTTAGTAGAATTTTCACTTATGTATATTTTCCATTTCTTCTTTTGTCTAAATACTAGGGCATTTTGTGTTTGTGAGGACACATTGAATTTGCACTTATGTTTTAATAGGAAAAGTTAAGCTTGAGGTTTCCGACTTTTCATGTAGAGCGTTTATGGACCACAACTTTCAAAAGTAAAGTTCTAGGTCTCTAAAAATTTAAATACTTGAGGATCCTCACACAATCGATAACATCTATATAGACATTAATCTCTATTGAATCGAAAGAAAGTCCTCCAAGTTCTAGCTTTAAGTCACGCGAAAGTCGCGTGCGATTTATCAATCATATTGATTATTTCGACTATCTGGAGACCTAAATTATATATTTATTTATGCTAGGAATTCTTAATCTTACGGATCCATAATTACGTCACGTGAAAGATTGAAGGAGTTAAATATTTTATATTTCAATATGCTTTTTATATTAAGTGACTGTATGACATTTTTCACTATTAAAAGACAACTAAGAAATGAAAAATTGTAAGTGGAGAGTGAAACCAAACTACTTTTTCTCGGTCGGTTTTGATTCTTGCCTCTCATCATAAGTAATTATTATTTTTATTTCTTATTTTCTCAAAATGTGCCAAGCTTTTGGACCTTCTCGGCCCCTTTTCATAATAATGGGCTTCTTATCTTGGGCCCATTTGAGTTAACAAACAATACCTAGGGTTAATTCGGCTCTCTAAAACCCTACCTATAACCCTACCTATCTCCCCCTTTCTTAATCTCATTTCATCGCTTCACCGCAGTCTGCTTCCCATCAGGCACGCAGAGATACCGAAATGGGTCGTGTAATCCGGGCGCAGCGTAAGGGAGCAGGATCCGTTTTCAAGTCCCACACCCATCATCGCAAGGGTCCGGCCCGATTCCGTTCCCTGGACTTCGGAGAGCGCAATGGCTACCTTAAGGGTGTGGTGACAGAGATCATTCACGATCCTGGACGAGGTGCGCCACTGGCCCGCGTCACCTTCCGCCACCCCTTTCGGTACCAGCACCAGAAGGAACTATTCGTGGCCGCCGAGGGTATTTACACTGGTCAGTTCCTTTATTGTGGTAAGAAGGCCAATCTAGTGGTTGGTAATGTGTTGCCTCTTAGAGCCATCCCCGAAGGTGCCGTCATTTGCAACGTCGAGCACCATGTTGGTGACCGTGGGGTTTTCGCTAGGGCCTCTGGGGACTACGCTATTGTTATCTCACACAACCCCGACAATGGAACCTCTAGGTATGTTGTTAAATACTTTCTCCTCTTAATTTATATGTTGTTTGTAAATTAATATCATGCTTGCAAATTATTGTGGTTCTGGATCTGAATTTTAACAACACTGGACGTTTCGAGAAGTTGGGAATTTATAATCTGTATCTGTGTTGAGTGGTTTACAGATTTCGTTTTAAAGTACTCATAAGCATTACCCCGATCTGTTTTGCAATTTGTTTATAGGGTACCTTTGGGAGTTGTTATTGGTGGAAAAATTATTGCTTTCTATAATTTGCTTGGTCTTCACGCATCCAGTTCATTTAGTTTAGTAGTCGTTTGATTGTATAGACATGAAACTCTAGGAAACAAAGTATTGTCCCAGTTACAGTGTTTCTTAATTTTATTCTAGCTTCTTTTCCCCTCCCAAGTGGTTTTGCAATAATATGATCAACCTGTGGCTTCCGTTTGTCAGAAAATTGATGAGACTACTAAAGATTTAACAATCTGCTGCTCAGATATTTTGTCCTTTTGATGATTTTTGTGGTACATGTGATTATGGCAGTTTTTCTTTTAGATTTGAGACGAACTTAAGAACAGGAATGGTGCATTTATGATTGAAGTAGTTTCTACTAATGCAAAAGGCCTATGTACTGCCTTTTTATTTATTTATTTATTTATTTATTTATTTTCTCTCTCTCTCTCTCTCTCTCTCTCACCGTGGGTGTTCGGGCCGCTTATGCGCATCTTGACTAATCCTATGGACCTTGAAGTTTACAGTCAGGTATTTACCTTAGTGCCCCCGAGGGGGACTCGAACTGGCTTTAAAACAAATCTCTTTAATTTTCGTACTCATTTTTCAACCACACATACTCACAATAATATTTTGCATGTAAACCCAAAATTTTTCCCTACCTTTTAACCAAACGCTCTATAAAGATCACTATTCAAAACATTTTTTCTCACTAATGTCCATCAGACAGGGGCTTATTTTGCTGTGACAACTAGTAATTTTATTATGGAAATACCCTCGTGGGCATCAACTTTGCTTAGCTATATAGTTGGTGATATTTCTTAATTTATGATTTTTATGAAACACATTTCCTTGTTCCAGGCTTCCACATATTATGGACTGTCGATTCTGAAAGGCTATTCTCAATTTAGTTTAAATCTTAAATTATGTCATAATGAACTTTGGTGATTTTAAGAATAACTTTCTAGTGATAAACCAAAACTGAGAAACTATGTTATGGAGCATCTGCTCGTAACATCGAGGTTTGACAAGTTCTTATTGTTGTCAGGATTAAGCTTCCTTCAGGAGCTAAGAAGATTGTGCCCAGTGGATGTCGTGCCATGATTGGCCAGGTTGCTGGAGGAGGACGTACGGAGAAACCACTGTTGAAGGCCGGGAATGCCTATCACAAGTTCAGAGTGAAGAGGAACAGCTGGCCTAAGGTTCGTGGTGTTGCTATGAATCCTGTGGAGCATCCCCATGGTGGTGGTAACCATCAACATATTGGTCATGCGAGTACTGTTCGTCGGGATGCACCACCAGGGCAAAAGGTTGGTCTTATTGCAGCTAGGAGGACTGGTCGTCTACGTGGTCAAGCTGCTGCTACAGCTTCTAAAGCTGATAAGGCTTAGGTTAATAATGAATGATATGCGGATTTCAAATTTGTTTGCTGTCTTCTTTTTATTATGTCTGAATCAGAATCTTTACATGTTCAATTGTGACGGCTATGGTAAGGATTATACTAGATTTTGTTTCAATTTGCTCTATTAATTTCTTTCAGTAATCGTTAATTGGAACCTTTTATCTTCCTTCAATGATTTTTGTTTGGGAAATGATCATTTTCTCATTATACTGTTGGTTTGAGTTGGTTAGCTAATATTCGTATCGTTTGTTGAATACTGTGCATCTAATGTCAGTGATGCCATGTCTGTGGCACTGCCAGAAGATTACTGTGCTTGTGTCTTTAAGATTTGATCAAATGATTTAATTGAATTTCAACATTTTGCTACAATGCTTCAGTAGTTGCTGATATGTGTCACCATGGGGAGCAGTGACAACTCCATTTCCCATTCTTTTAATTTCCTAGAGTGATCTCTTTTTTTCTGCTACAATGAAGTTAGTATTGCAAGCCTTGGTTGTGCTTACTCTCTTCTTTATCTGCTTATGATGGAAATTGTTCTCTCTCCTCCCTAAACATTCACAATTATAGTTGCATTTTGTTAATTTATGTTGCATATCTTTCAGCCTGCAAATCTGTGACCTGTTCTCATTAACCACCTGTTAGAATCTGCCCTTTTTTGATGTCAATACAGCACCTAATTGCACCTGTGCGCATGTATAATTCTATAATTCAGCTCACAATATGGATGATAACGGACATTCTCTTGATTAGGAATTTTGAGGTTACATTCTAAAATTAGCTGTGTTCAACCTTTTCTAAGGTTTGACAAAATTTTAAGTTTCCGTTTAGGGAATTGTAAAAAGGCTTTCTTTAAATTTTTTTGATAATACTTTTTTTCAAATTCATTTTCAACCAAATTCTTCCTATAAATCGTTACATGTTATTGGATAAACTCTCACTTGACATAACGAGTAAATTCGATGAAAAAACAAGAAAAGGCAAAAAGGAGAAGGAATTGTACGTTTTAAATGCATTTCTTAGTATACCTTTTACATATTTTAATTATGTATTCAGATCTTGATAAGGTCGACATATTGATAATTAATTCAAATCTAATTGTCAAGATACAAAGTGGTAGATTTGCTAATCTCATGTCTCTCTTTCAATTAACAAAATAATAATAATGCCATTTAGCATTCGTGTTTGGGCACCAGTTTCTGTGGTTACAAGTTATGAGATCAATTAAATGAGTCATTTAACTTTGTATTTAAATGAATATATTATTTAATTTCATGTACGGTAAAATCTTGATAAATAAATGTTTGATAAATTTATAATCTAATTTAAGTTTGAGCCGCATTATTTACATAAGAATACATTTTTGAAAAAATTTTAATTTTTTTTTTTTTTTTTTTTTTTTTTTTTTTTTTTTGTGGATCAAACATGGCCAAAATTCTTGTGTCCCAATTTGGGTCAGTGTACTAAATTAATAACTTCGTTAAATACATGAGATAATAATCATTTTGAGATACTTTAGGGCCTGACAAATATATAAAATAATAACTGCTTGAATTCATGAAAGTTCATTCTAATAGCTTTAGAATTTATGTTCCATGCATATATGAAATAACTTGAATAGTTGATTTTTTAAAATATTAAACTTTGAAGTCAATGCATTTACATTAATATTTCTATTTAATGTATGTATACGTGTGCTTACAAATTAAATTTTGAATTTCACAACATTTAATAATTTTTTTTAAAAAAAAATCCAATATGTATTATGGTAAAAGATGATATAAATTAATAATAATTTTCTCGATACCAACACTATTGTTTTATAGAGCTTTTACTGTAATTTCCCACCCAATAGTGATGAGTGATTAATAGTATCACTCAATTAAAAAATAGGAAAATGGTTGTTGGTCAGGCCCAAAGCCAGGGTGCCGAGGTGTTTTCACCTCGACCCTTGGATCTGAAATTAAAAAAAAAAAATGTATGAGATCGGGGGCTGAGGTGATGCCACCTCAACCCCTTGTCCCTGAATCGATTATTGAGTCGGGCTCAGTAGCAGAGTTCTAAAAAATATGTAATTCATCAACTATATTTTTAAAGGATAACAATTGTTAGTGAAAGGGAATATTGCTATTGAGATCTCGAAGCTAAAAAAAAAAAAAAAAACACCACTTAGGTCCTCAATCAATTTATTTACGCAACATGCTGATTTATTTTCGTTTTCAAATTTTTTTGGTGTTTTCTAATGTTTTTTTATTTTTGGAGTGACACAATGATGTTATACCGCAGTGTAATGCTATTCATATACATGGGAGTCAAGCACTAGTTTATATAATAATGACATGACATTAAGTAATATTTTCGTTTAAATACAAAGTCACATGACTAATTTAATTAAACAAAAAAAAAGTACAATCATCTAAATTGGTGTTAGATAATATTATTTTATTCCATAATACGGTATTTGTCAAAATGGTTGGCTATGCTAGGTGTACTTAAATTGGACCTAACCAAGGGTTTATACTTGACTATTTGATTGTGTCGAGTTCGATTTTTTAGCCATAAAGTTCGATCAACCTTGAGCTGGACTTTCACATATTTAACATCCCTACCGTAATGATCCCTTAAATAAAAGGATTGTGTAAATAATGCCACTTTAATAGAAAATGGATGAATTCGTATATCAAATTTAGACTTGTTTGATACACATTCTCTATTTTTTTTTTCAAACTTATTTTGAATTACACATTTTATGGGATCTATAATTTTTACCAAATTTTGTTAAGAATCTTTTCCTTTTGTTTAGCTAAATCAAACATGGGCTTGATGTTAGGACGCATATGCCAAGAAAACTTAAATAGGGATTTAAGCAGTACATTTTATAAAGTTTGGGTTCTCAATCTGTAATTGCCACTCTCCAATCACCAAAAAAAACTGGATCTTTCCCGCCGGCGATTCATGGGACCTCCACCATTTAAAAACGGGATTTGCACGGAATAAAATTGAGATATGGTGGAGCATTAACTTCGATTATATGATAATGACAAAAAATATTTTGGTTGAAAAGCCGAGCCACCCATCTATAAATTACAAATTGCACAGTTGATTTTCGAAAAAAGAAACACAGATGAAACACGCACAAAAGCAGAAAAGATAAATCAAATGGTTAACACTAATCACTATTTTTCGTAGATAATATAATTACTCATAGGTTGTTCCTAATCTTTGTTGCTATTGGGTGTTTTGTGTATAATTATGAAGTTCTTCTTGTGTTATGGTTCTTGCTATAGTGGGTCAGGGGCTCAGCAGCAGCCGCCGGAGAAGGAGATTGCTGGTGGCGCCAGAAGCTCGGCCCCGCGTAGGGCGGAAGTGAGGAAGGGCCGCCAAGGAGAGGCGTTTTGGGGTTATTGATTGGCGGCCATCTCTTTCATCAATATCGGGGGACAACGTCTTGCTGGAGAGGGTTATTCAACAGCCGCCGCAGCGGAGCCTTAATAGGAAGGGTGGTGGAGCACCCATTTCACACAGAGATCGTGCCCATTCGTCGCATCAAAATAATGCCCGGTAACATTTTTCTCCAACTCCTATTTCAATTTTATTGAGAATAATGCTTAGTTTGTCGTGATTATTGTCTCGTAGATGCAGAATTTATATATTTCTTAATATTGTTTTAGGATCAATCATTTGTTTGAGTTAACTTGGTAATTTTACGGTGAATTATTTTACGTTTTGATTGACAGGCGAGCTCCAGTTCCAGCAGTATTGCCTACAAGTTACCCTATTATATACATATAATGGAATCGTTCAATTTATATCAACATAGAACTTGTTCTTGTTTCTTTTACATTGTTTTAGTTTTGTATTATAGATCTGCAGCATCTGCTTACGTCGGAATCTGTAAACAAAGAAGGGAAGCTGATACAAAACACTAAACAGGACTATACGGAGTACTGTACAATATTTTATGAGTAGATCTAGGTACGTCACATTCAATGACCTTAAACAACCATGCTCGAGCTTTCTCCATCTTGTATTCCTGCCATTGTGTCATACAAAGGCTTGTTTAAAGTTTCTGGCAAGTAAAATGCTAGAGTTCCTCCTGCAATCCCACATATCCCGAACACCACAAAGGGTATTCTATCGCCAATCACCACCACGAACGGTGATAATATGGCTCCCATTTGGGCAGCCTGAGTAGCGCAACCTAGTGCTGCATTCCTTACGACCGTAGGAAAAAGTTCCACCATATAAACGAACAACAGATTATAAGTTCCGGCCATGCCAAAAATTCCCAGAACACCACAGACCATTCGGAGAATCTTCCATGTTCCATAGCCTTTTAACAAGCTCCCCACAATGCAAAATATCCCACTGAACCATTGTGTGCCAATAGCTAGGGGCTTTCTGCCAAACTTGTTTAACAGAATAGCTGTTAAGAAAAATGCAGGCATTTCCGCTACAGCATTAAGGAGAACGTTAAGATATATGTTGGTTCCGAGGTTGACCACATTCAAACTTAGGCCGTAGTAAACAACAGAACACAGGAAGTTGATGGCCACTGCTAGGAGTAAACGAATTCGTGTTAGTGGCAAGTGAAGTACATCTATGAGGGATCCGGTTATGGTTGATTGTGATTCCGATTCTGCTTTACTTTCACTTTGAACATTATCTGGAACACTGTTTGCTTCTTCATCAAGGGCAAGAAGGGTGCCATCAGGGAGGTGGTTTCCATTCGTTTTAGCGATTCTGTGCATAGTCTTCATGGCCTGGTTCATCTTTCCTCTAATAAGACACCATCGAGGGGACTCAGACAAGAAAGGAAGTATGATAGCAGCGAACAGAGCAGAGGGAATGGATGATGCAATATAGAGGGATCTCCATGATTGAAAAATATAAGCTATACCAGAAAGCGTAGCTATTCCCCCCGAGAAAAAATAGAATGTGGACATGCCGGCAATGCCACGCATTGTAGGGCCAACAGGCTCTGTGGCTAGGACAAAAGCACAGAGGCCAACCCCTCCGGTGCTGAAGCCGGTCAGAAGGCGTAATAGGGCATAAGTCCAGTAAGCTGGAGAAAGTGCTGTTAGACAACCGAAGATTGCATTCATGATACAAACAACTAATAGAGAGCCTTTCCTTCCCAACTTGGAGTCTGAGAGATGACCAAATACTCCTGCACCTGTAAACATGGGCACAAGTATTACATTCACGTTCCAAATTCAACACTTAGGCTATACTTGATTAATTCTTCTATTCATTATGAACTATCCTCCTGGAGTGTTGCTATTGGACATGCAAAACTTATGGACTTTTTCTTTTAAGGAAAACAAAACACAAATTCAGTGGGTTTTCAGGCTCCACCAGGGACGGCTGATTGGGGTTTGGATTCCCCAACCATATATATAAAATTAAACTTTCAAAAGCACGACGAAGTGGGCATAAACTTGACCTCCCGAAAGCGAAGAAATGCTGCATATGAAGGAAAGGATTAAGAGGGCATAAAACCTACAGCAGATTATACTAAACTTAAGTTCCTAAAGCACATTAAGAAGTCTGATTAAAATAATAATAATAATAATAATAAATTAGGCTTCAAATTTGACAGCAGATTTGAGTGGAAAGAATTTATGTTTATCATTCGAGTTTAAATACATCCTTATGCTCTTCTTTCCCATTTATGTAAAAGTGAAAATGAAGAATATAGTCATTACGGGCCCCACACAAGAGATAGAAATTCAAATATGGTGGTTTGATGTGGTGAATAACGATAATATTTTTCATTTTAATGGAGAAAGAATATTGAGAAACAAACAGGGGCTTAGAAATAATATAATTAAGTGATAAGTGCATATCTTTAAGATAAAACAACATTCCATTGGGGCATCTCAGACTCAAGTTCAAAATGGAGTAAAACGTCAATTTGGTGTGAAAATGATGCTCCAACCAGACTTCAAATCTTCACTCCAAATTAAAGTAATGAACAGTGTCACTTTTCATTTTTGTAACACATAGTTTTAATTATTTTCCATTTTGCCCTTCATTTTATACTACCACATATTAATTTCTATTATATCAAATTTTAAATTCTTTTATTATTTAGAGTGCATTTGATTACCAATATTTTCCATGAAATATGTGTTTTTTTTTCACATAATTTCCTACTTTTGTACTGTTTGATTGACAAATTTTTTTTTTTGTGGAAAATATTGTCCTGCATCTGGTCACACGATCATATTTTCCTTGAAAAACAATGAAAATATTTTCTTTAGGGAGATGTGATTTTTATTTTTCAGGTAATTTACTTTCTTTCTCTCTTTCATATATTCATTCTCTCTTATCTATCCACAAAAAAAAAAAATGATAACTATAATATTTTTTAGGTTAATAACTAAATGGACCAAATATATTTAATTAACATTATTCATATAAATAAGTTTCAGGCAATTGAATTGTTTAGGATTTATTTTCTTTCCATGTAAATTTCATGCTCGTAATTAAACACACTTTTAATAATTTATATTTATATTTATTTTAGTTAGATTATTATTTTTATTAACATTTATAATTTTTGAAAGTTTTATGTTATTATAATTTTTTTTATTGTGACGTTGATGGTAATATATATATATATATATATATATATATATGGATGTATGTATGTATGTATTAAGCGTAATGCTTTTTCTAAATTTATTATGAATTTGATACTTAATTAAATGTAATTCAAAATGGCCAGACTCGCTCTAATGGTGAAATTGAGAATCATCCAAAAGCTTAGGGGCTGTTCTCTTTACTGTTTTCAGGCTCTTTTCTGTTTTCTATTTTTCAAAATGGTCAAAACGTATTCTCTTTCTTATTTTCGAAAATGAGTTTTCACAAAAAAAAAAATCGACTAAAAACTCAATACTGACTTTTAACCAATTTTGAGTGTTTTTCAGCCAAATAATGAAAACACGAGAAACAGATTGAATCCACTAAAAACAACCCATCTCTTTTCCTTCTCTCCATGCCTTAACAGCAGATGTAAGGCACTGCCTAGGGATTACCCTGCCTTCCAAATCCCAGATCGAAGAATATCGAAGGCTCTGTAAGAATAGTTTCCCCTCTCTTTCTTGCAATCACGTTTTCTTTAGTGAAAATTGATCAACGATTCCCTGTGCTTTGTAGAAAAAACAAAGTAGATCTTTTAGAATGTTTTCTCCCTTTTGATTTTTGATTCTTTCTCGTTACTGAATCAGATGGCACCACGTCGCTTAGGTATTTTCTTCTTGGCAGTTTTCTATTTTTTGGAGTCTCCAACGCAAGCCCAAATGACTTCGATTAATTTCTTCTTGGCAGTTTTCTATAATTTGCATGTCCAACTGACAAATTGCTATTTTAATTTTGTGCTGCAAGTGGGCTTTTCTTTACCGAGCCTATTAACTTCAATTGGTTGTGTGGTAACAGTTTTGCAATCGGCCTTTTCTAATTAGTGTTTGCAGCAATTTCAAATGAGTTTTTCTGTTGTGAATATTAATTCTGGCTTAACAATACATGGGTTCTTTGTAATGTTAACGTGTAGGCCAAGATTTGATTGGATAATGATTGTTGCATTAATTTATTTTTTTTGGAGACATTTGTCTTTCTTTTCACCGGATTAACTTAAATGAATTAAGTTGCAGACATTGTCCTTTGGTCTTCAATGCTTAGATGATCATATTTTGTGATAATTCCAACTGTCTTTTTTGAAATTGGTTTTGTAATTATAATTCAATAGATTTGATTGTAATGGTTCATGTTCTTATGTCAGGGTTGTGTTTTGGAGATTTTATTTTAATTTTTTGTTTTTGGGTTCGCTATAGGCTATAGTTCCATTAAGAGGTAGTTCTCTAAGTAGGTATTCCTTTAAGAACCTTATAGCAATTGAAAGACTATAGTCTAGCAGGAGCTTCTTAACTCAGTGATCTCCACAGGAAAATTCTGACACTTTCTTGCTAAATATTTACAGGCTATAGTTCCATTAAGAAGTAATTCTCCTAGTAGGTAATCCCTTAAGATCCTTGGCCAATGAAAAGAAATAGTCCAGCGAAGGCTTCACAATTCAATGACCCTCACATGAAAATTCTTGAGAGTTTATCGCTAAATATCAGCACAATCATTGGCCTACTCTCATAAATTTCCAGGAAAGCTTAACATAATTTGCTAGAACATTAACTAGTAAAGATAAAATGCACCAAAGCTGTTTATAAGTTTGTCAACACTTGATATTTGCATGAATAGGATGACCATAGGGAAAATTATAGTCAATGTTCTTTATATTTCATTCTATTAGCACAATGATGGACTAATAGGTTGTTGTTTATATTCCTTTCCAATAGGATGACCATAGGGAAAAGTATAGTCAATGTTTTTGATGCATTCTTGTTTTACTTACCTGACCCATGGTTAGGAAAGGTCACAAAGCTTTAAAATCAAATGCTGTCATTGAGGTTTGGTTGGTAAGAGAATGGAAAGTGGGTTTGTTTTCTTTGCTGCCTACTAAGCTACTTGCCAAGTTTCTTAGAAAGGAGAAAGCAATTGAGATTCAACAATTGTGGTGTTTTCTATTCGAGTGCTAAATATTCTTCTTCTTTTTCGGGGATTTTGTTTGCAATATCCAATGTTTCTTGGTTAATGGATCTATGCAAATTAGTACTATACGCATCTAATGACAATTGATGGTATGTGACTATAATTAAAATCACACAATATGTCCTCCTCAAATCGTCCATGGAAGGTCTTATGTATTTCTTGATAATTTTATGTATATTCAATATAGTTTCAACATGGGTGGTCACAAAGTTAGGAATAAGGAACCAATGTCATGGTCAGACGAGAATGAACACGTTTTTATCGAAATTCTTTACGAGAAAGTCAAATCAATCGCATTGCAATGTTCTACATTCACGAAAGACCAATGTGGCAGAATCAATGAGACCATGATAGGTTCAACAAAAATGGATTACGGCATAGATAGATTAAAGGGAAAGTGGAACCGCTTACGTAAAATTCATCGCATGTTTTTTGAACTTTTGGAACATACAGGTGTTACATGGGATCCAAATACCAATAAAGTTAATACTGCACAGGAATTTTGACAACACTTTTATATGGTATATATATTTATTAAAGAATATTTAGCAGGATTACAGTTACTGGAGGATTAGGCAATGCCTCCACTCATCTTCCAAACACATCAGAGGAAGAAAGACAGCTAGAAAATGATTTCTTAAACAGAGGAGTGCATGTATGTGTGAAAAATGATGATGAAGTCGATGAGGTTTCCTTTTCTCTTCAACATGATAGAATTGGTACATCGGGTGAATGTCGACGTAAGGAACCTAAGATCAGTAAAAATGATAAACTTGAGGTCTGCATGGCACAGTGGTCACTTGTGTAAAGTTTGAGGAATGAGAAAACTAAACTTAGAACACTTTACCTAAAAGAAAAGCTTGCAAAGATCCAAGGAAAATCATGTAATCAATCGGATAATGAAGTTAATAGTTAAGAACAAGAAGTTATACATTTAGATGCTAGTCAAACAGCTCAAATGGGACAAGTCAGGGATCAAATTGTTACTCAAATGTGGAATGATTACTCAAGATATCGTACATTTATATTTTGTGTAGTGTCTACTTGTTTTGACATGACACGTAAACTTCTAATAGATCTATTAATCCGTGTTGTCAAATTTAATTTAGGTTGTGTTTTTTATATCTGTTAAAAATATTTCAAAATTCACCAATTTCAAAATTTATATGTTATTATATTATATTAACATTAAACTATTAAAATTTATTGAATAATCATATTTCTTGAATAAAATATTATAAAAATATTCTCAAAATTTCAAAGTAAACACGTTTTTCAATTTTATGTTTCCAAAAACAGTTTTTCAGAATGATATAAAAAAACGTATTTTCATTAATTTCAAAACAAGCATTCAAAACACCAAACTCAAAATGAATTCAAAACTCAAAATCACAAAATTGGAACACAAAGAAAACAACCCCTTAATCTGTTAGGCAAAAAATCCATCTATTATAAAATCGCTCAAGAACTTGCTGACTTGGCCGATTGCAAGAAACCCGTTACAATTATGGTTTCATTGGTTTAAATTTATAAAACACGCCTTGAAATTCATCTTTTGATTTTTATTGTAATTTTATTTATTCTTTTCTAAAAAATCACTGGATGGATCCCATTTCGACCCATGTTTGTCCCTTTTTTTTTCTGACACTTTCTTGCTAAATATTTACAGGCTATAGTTCCATTAAGAAGTAATTCTCCTAGTAGGTAATCCCTTAAGATCCTTGGCCAATGAAAAGAAATAGTCCAGCGAAGGCTTCACAATTCAATGACCCTCACATGAAAATTCTTGAGAGTTTATCGCTAAATATCAGCACAATCATTGGCCTACTCTCATAAATTTCCAGGAAAGCTTAACATAATTTGCTAGAACATTAACTAGTAAAGATAAAATGCACCAAAGCTGTTTATAAGTTTGTCAACACTTGATATTTGCATGAATAGGATGACCATAGGGAAAATTATAGTCAATGTTCTTTATATTTCATTCTATTAGCACAATGATGGACTAATAGGTTGTTGTTCATATTCCTTTCCAATAGGATGACCATAGGGAAAAGTATAGTCAATGTTTTTGATGCATTCTTGTTTTACTTACCTGACCCATGGTTAGGAAAGGTCACAAAGCTTTAAAATCAAATGCTGTCATTGAGGTTTGGTTGGTAAGCGAATGGAAAGTGGGTTTGTTTTCTTTGCTGCCTACTAAGCTACTTGCCAAGTTTCTTAGAAAGAGAAAGCAATTGAGATTCAACAATTGTGGTGTTTTCTATTCGAGTGCTAAATATTCTTCTTCTTTTTCGGGGATTTTGTTTGCAATATCCAATGTTTCTTGGTTAATGGATCTATGCAAATTAGTACTATACGCATCTAATGACAATTGATGGTATGTGACTATAATTAAAATCACACAATATGTCCTCCTCAAATCGTCCATGGAAGGTCTTATGTATTTCTTGATAATTTTATGTATATTCAATATAGTTTCAACATGGGTGGTCACAAAGTTAGGAATAAGGAACCAATGTCATGGTCAGACGAGAATGAACACGCTTTTATCGAAATTCTTTACGAGAAAGTCAAATCAATTGCATTGCAATGTTCTACATTCACGAAAGACCAATGTGGCAGAATCAATGAGACCATGATAGGTTCAACAAAAATGGATTACGGCATAGATAGATTAAAGGGAAAGTGGAACCGCTTACGTAAAATTCATCGCATGTTTTTTGAACTTTTGGAACATACAGGTGTTACATGGGATCCAAATACCAATAAAGTTAATACTGCACAGGAATTTTGACAACACTTTTATACGGTATATATATTTATTAAAGAATATTTAGCAGGATTACAGTTACTGGAGGATTAGGCAATGCCTCCACTCATCTTCCAAACACATCAGAGGAAGAAAGACAGCTAGAAAATGATTTCTTAAACAGAGGAGTGCATGTATGTGTGAAAAATGATGATGAAGTCGATGAGGTTTCCTTTTCTCTTCAACATGATAGAATTGGTACATCGGGTGAATGTCGATGTAAGGAACCTAAGATCAGTAAAAATGATAAACTTGAGGTCTGCATGGCACAGTGGTCACTTGTGTAAAGTTTGAGGAATGAGAAAACTAAACTTAGAACACTTTACCTAAAAGAAAAGCTTGCAAAGATCCAAGGAAAATCATGTAATCAATCGGATAATGAAGTTAATAGTTAAGAACAAGAAGTTATACATTTAGATGCTAGTCAAACAGCTCAAATGGGACAAGTCAGGGATCAAATTGTTACTCAAATGTGGAATGATTACTCAAGATATCGTACATTTATATTTTGTGTAGTGTCTACTTGTTTTGACATGACACGTAAACTTCTAATAGATCTATTAATCCGTGTTGTCAAATTTAATTTAGGTTGTGTTTTTTATATCTGTTAAAAATATTTCAAAATTCACCAATTTCAAAATTTGTATGTTATTATATTATATTAACATTAAATTATTAAAATTTATTGAATAATCATATTTCTTGAATAAAATATTATAAAAATATTCTCAAAATTTCAAAGTAAACACGTTTTTCAATTTTATGTTTCCAAAAACAGTTTTTCAAAATGATATAAAGAACGTATTTTCATTAATTTCAAAACAAGCATTCAAAACACCAAACTCAAAATGAATTCAAAACTCAAAATCACAAAATTGGAACACAAAGAAAACAACCCCTTAATCTGTTAGGCAAAAAATCCATCTATTATAAAATCGCTCAAGAACTTGCTGACTTGGCCGATTGCAAGAAACCCGTTACAATTATGGTTTCATTGGTTTAAATTTATAAAACACGCCTTGAAATTCATCTTTTGATTTTTATTGTAATTTTATTTATTATTTTCTAAAAAATCACTAGATGGATCCCATTTCGACCCATGTTTGTCCCTTTTCTTTTTTCGAGTCAATGCTCAAAACATTAATAATTTTAATAGTAATAGAATATGTAGTTAAATAATTTTTGAAATACACTAGTTGTTGAGTGAAAAAAAAAAAAGGAAAAAAGAAAAAAAATGGACTTTCATTTCGTATAATCCTTGATGTAATGAGTTGAAAATGACTAAATAAGATGGTGCGAAAGCATAGCACGATGATTTGAAAGTATCATTTAAATTGGATGATGAAAAGGACGATAGCTATGCAATAGTGGATTCTTAAAGTTTCTAATTTTATCCCAAAAGCAAACACACCTTTATCACTCCCTTCTTCGCCAAAAGACTTTGTTAATTAATATTTACACGCTTTTGCCCCTTCGTAGCAATTACTTTCTTTGCACAATCACTTTTAGTTCAAAAAGTTCACATTTAGAAACTACTAATAGGACATGGATGAAAATAACATTTCAACAAGAGGTGTAAAGAAGTCGAGTTGAGTCGACTCGCAAGCTGAAGTTTGTGGCTTGCGTGTGGCTTGAGTAAAAATCAATCAAGTATTTTTTGGTCCAAGTCCAGTCGAACCAAAAATATGGGGCTCGGCTCGGGTCTTTTCGAGTTGAGCAATCCAAAGGGAACTGTGCCTTTTTTAAAAAGGCAGCCACATATTAAATGGCAGCTGTCTTTTCAAAGGTAATTGTGGCTGCCTTTAAAAAGTAGTTGAAATTCAAGACAAGGGCCGAAATGGCCCGTGTTAGTGTGGTTGACAGGGGACATCGTATGGCTCGATTGGCTCGAGCTCAGGCAAACACTTGAAAATGAAGTTTGAGCCGAATCGAGCCGAGCAGAGCAGAGCGCATAGCTCGCTCAGACTTTTTTCGAATCGAGCTGTGGGCAGCTCAAATCGGCGAACCAGATTGACATCCTTATTTATCACTACTTTAAGCCCCTTTTTGGGTAAGATTAAAATCAAAATTTAAGTAAATTTTATTTAAAATTGATAAAATATATTGTTAAAAAATCGATAGAAATTATGAGTTCCATGAACTGTTTGACTCCAAATTTGGAGAGTTAAATTCAATATCTATTTTAAAAAGTTAAAATAGAAAATTTCTTGAAGTTTATTTTTAAATATTAGTTCTTTAAAATAAAGAACGTTTTGTATCTAGATGATCTCATCCATGAAATCATGTGGGGGAGGTTCTCTAGGATGTGGTGCAGCTCTTAAACTATATATAGATGGTGAAAGTGATTGATCAAGAAACATGATAGAAAGGAGAGAAACTTCAATAAAGTGGTTGCACCATCCATCCAATGTCGAGGCGCCACCTCGAGGGTGTGTGGTGGCTACCCATGGAGGTGGCGCACCTTTATAGGATGGTTGCACCACGTTACTTAGTTTCTTTCGATAGATAGACATGTCAAAAAGTCCATTTAATTACCAAGTAATAATAAAATATTTGTACTTCTGATTTAAATCAAAGAAGTAAACTATTTTTAATTAGCTACTACTTGCTTAAAGATTTGTACTACCTCCCCAATCAGGATAGAACTAGACACATTTTCATTTTAATAATAATTTGAGGAAAATAAGAAAGGAGTTGGAAGGGTCACTGACCTATCATGCAGCCACCAAAAAACAAGGACTGAACCAATCCAACCTTGTATTTCTGCCCACAAATCAGTCCAAATTCAGCCACCGTGGAGCTTCTTGCACCACCAATCCATTTCCACGAACCGGGTTCAAGCTGGCACACGCTCTTCGACTCGGACAAGCATCCGGCGGCAGAACACTGCCACGCCGGTTCACGGTCGGCGAAGATCATGACCATGGTGTGGAAGGCCTCTAGAGCCCAAGCCAAACTTGTTAATACGAAGTGCCTCAGCTGCCAGTAACCAAACTCTCCACAGTGTTTCTGCAGCATGTCGTCTATGCATATTTTCTCCGGGTTGTTGGACACTCCGGCGACTGGACGGAGAAGCGGTGACCGGAGGTCAGACTGAGTGGGGCCCAAAGATCCACAGTCCGACGTTGTCGACATAGATGTTAGTCACCTGCAGGTTTCTTCTTTTTACTTCACCAGGGCCTGAAGGCAATTAAATGAGTGCAGAGGCAGCAGTTGTTTTGGGGGCTTAAATAATAAATAGTAACCCCAAAGTCAAAATCAATAATTAATTTTAATCACATAATTTATAGATTTCATCAATTTTTATCAAAATTTATTAAAAATTTGATTTTAATATCCTAACTGGCTAAAGAACAATTACTAACATGTTGACCAAATACATTGTGGGTGGGGAAGACTGGGGGATGAGTTCTATGTTGACTCTATACATCGCTAGTCCGAGTGGACGTCGTGTCTGGATAAATCCGATGAGTTCACACAATTATTACAAATTAATGCTGAAACCCCTAGATTAGTGCTAAGTAATTTAAACTTTAAACATGACTCATTTATATTTTTTTTTATAATGTTACTTAATGAACCCTAAATTAATGCTAAGTACCAATGATGCTGAATAATATTTTTTTATAATGTTCAATTTGAAAAGACCTTCACACGAATAAGCTTAAAAAATGAAATTATTTTTCCATGTCGCTTATATAAATTTCACTGTCACAGTCTTCACCACCTCTTGTAACATATCGTGTTACATTGTAATCACTTTCCAGTCACTACTATTGTTGGACATGATCCGGTTCGGATCGGATCGGATCGAATCCGAAATTCGTAGGTATTTAGTAAGCGAAACCTTGGGTCCGAATTTAATTATGGAATAGTTCGAGTTCGGTTTTCAAGTTCCGTATTATAATTAAATTTTTTTAATATTTATAAAGTTACATTAATTCAACTAATGATATGTTCAATATTAGCTTTTACAAAATAACGTACTCTAATCTTATGTGTATTTTGCTTCTCTCTTTGTTGAGTTTTTCATAAATTTGATTGTTAAAATCATATAAAGAGGAAGATAGCGACCTCAAAATAATTAAGAGAGACATTGTCGAGCTCCAATTCGATTTCTCTAAAACGGTAGAAATAACACTACGGTAGAATAACAGATTTAGATAAAATTTAGGCCAATTTGATTAAGTTAGCTTTGAATTGGAAATTAGAAATAGGAAAAATCATATTTTTAGGTTTGAGCTAAATTAATTAGTAAGTAAATTTATTTAGAAAATAAAATAATTTGATTTATTTAAAATAAATTAATTGAAAAAATTAGGAAGATTTGATTCTTATTCGATTTTTCGGTTCTAGATCTAAAATCGAGACCCGAACCAAATTCTTTAATTTTCGACTCAGATACTTGTTTCGGTATTTAACATAAGAAAAATTGCTCAGTTCGATTTGGGAGTTTTGTCCACCCCTAATCACTACTAGTAATACAATATGTATCACCCACCATCAATAAGACCACCTCCACCGCAATCTACATCATAACGCAATAATCACTTAGGGTTGAACAAAGTTTTGTTTGAGCGATTTTTAAATTATACTCAAATTAAACCATTTTCAAAGGTTTGAAAAAATTCAAAATCAAACCAAATCGTTTAATTTTGCAAATCAAACCATTTTTTGTAGCTTGATTTGGTTTCAAACAATGATTCTAGTGATATAAATATAACATATTTTAGCATCTGTTTGATGATCATTATTTGAGAAAAATAATGTTTCGAAATAGTGATTTTTAGGAGATTGTATGGTTAAAAAGTAGTAAAAAATTTTAGGTTTATATGTAGAATATTTTATTGTGTGGATGTGTAGTTAAAAATGAGTATGTAAAAAAGAGTTTTTCAAATAATGATTATCGTTTTAACGGATTTATGTGGAGATTATATATTGCAACCGCTCCGATGAACGCTTTCATGCAATCGAGCAAGAATGGAGACATTGTTAAACTGAATTACAAATATGAAAAACTTCCAACTTTCTGCACCCTATGCTGGAAATATATTGACACTTTTCTTCAATGTATGGAGGAGGTTTTACCCATCCTTCGAAATCCAGAACACTAGTTTGGCGAATGGCTAAAAGCTCCATCGGGAAATCGATTTAAATTCCGAAATTAGAAAGCTTTGCTTGAACCACCGCCTGCTTCTGAAGTCCGGGCTACCTCTTTATAACCAAAATAGTACATATTCTGATAGGGGATGTAATCTCGCTGTGCAGGTGATGCCACCCTCGATCACACCTGACAATTACGTACTTTGCCCATTGGCAGGATCAATACTAGGATAATTCAAATTCTTCTTCGTCTTTTTCTTCTACTTATTATTTTTTTGTGTGAGAGAGAAGATTTTTTTATTTTTATTTTTTGGGGCACAGCGGGCTAGAGCAAATTGGTTGTCAAAAGAAGCCAGAAAATGGTTGATAGATAAAATGTCACAATAGGTGCTGACAAGATGCAATTGAATGAAAAAATTGACTGTATTTAAAATAATCCAACGATAAAGTGCCGTGTACCATTATGTCAAGGATCATGATGATTGTATTTGGAAAGATAGCCTCATTTGCTGACCTCCGATGTTCAATTCGAAGGGAAGCTAATGCTGCTGCTCTCTCCCGATTTCAAGGTAATGTGTGACTTGATAGCTCCCTAATGAGCATTGTAAATGTTCTTTCAGTTGATACAGATGAATAATATATTACTATTGTTGAATACCCCCCCCCCCCCTCTATTGTAATAGTCTTTCAAAGTCTAATGAAGTTTATAGAAGCCCTTAAAAGTAAATTTACAAAAGATATGAAAGATTTTCATGAAATTTATAAAAGTTAATGTTGTGGAAGCTCTCTCAAAAGGATCTTCAAACGGTGGTTTTCCAGGCTCAGTCCAACGTACTTTTCTCTACTAACAACCAATCCAAACGGCTCCAAACCACAACAAATTGATTCACCTTGGTTGCTATACAATCTTACCCACGTAGGACAAGAAGGGATGATGATTTATGATCACAAAGGATAGGAAAAGACATCACAAAGATATACTATGAAAGAACTACCAATTGCACACGTTATACAAGGGTTTTGGACATTTCTGGAGACCTTTTTCTCACACAAAAAGGGGGCAGCCGGGATTCACTAGTTTCTTCTCTCAAAATCATACAATCATCATATCAAAGAGGCTAGGGTTATATTCATATATATACTCTAGGGTTAGGCTTTAAGTTGGGCTATTAAAGGGGTAAACGAGCCAAGATTCAAGCCATCCATAAGGAATACAATTGGGTAGGGTGTAGCTCATGGACTTGGTTGCTAGACTTATTTCATTCATCGGCCTATGCCTATGAAATAATATTAACCCACGTTAACATCATAGCCCGGGATTTATTGGGTATAAAAAACCCAACAAATCTTCACCTTGATTCCCAATAAATCTGCAAGCAATCAAAACACACAGTTAACACTTGCATAATCAAGGTAGCCAATAAAATTAGATTACAGACCTTACCTCGTGTTTCCAACTTGAAACACATACCATACCTGCTCCATGACTGGGGCTAAGGTCAAAAAACACCAAGTAGAAGCAAATATTTAACAGTAAACAATCAAGAGCAAATACACATGTGATGACGATATACTATAGGATAACACACACAGATCTTTTCAGAAACATGTTCACATAGAACCATAGATTAACACCAAGTGAATCAAACCACGGTCAACCACATATGTAACACATGCATAAATGACCCTAAGAAAAGATCTCACCACACTTATCCTATCCCATTCCGTGTTGCTCACACCTCAAGAACACATATCTCCTCTCATCGCCCACCACGCTCACTAGACAGATCACTCAACT